TGTCCTGGCTTTCAGGTGGCTTTTTTGAAGCCTTAAGGGCAAAATAACCCCCTTTCAAAAGTTTATGGGTTGATACGAGAGATTTATTTGGATTTTCCAGGAAGAGATTGCTGTTTAAATTAATTTTATGGGGAAACCATAGGTTTTCCTCTTTTTTTCCCTTTGCTTTTCTAATTTTAAAAAAGTCCCATGCCATTCACAGTGTTGCAAGGGCTGTCTGTCCCATCAGCAACCCTTCCTGTAATGCCTTGAGGAGGAGAATAATATTGAATTCCTCCTTGGGCATTCCAAGAACTTCCCACATATTGGAAGCAACATTCCTGTACATTTTTTAAAATTTTAATTTAATATCTTTATTTTTAACAAAGCAATCTTTAATCTTACAAAAAGAAAATAAACATAAAAAAATTAAAAATACCAACTAAGAAGGGGAAAAAATCTTATATTTTATACTTACCAATAGTCATTGGTTTACCAATGAATTCACTACTGTAATGTAAACCAGTGTTTCTCAACCTTGGCAGCTGGCTGGGGAATTCTGGGAGTTGAAGTCCAGACATCTTAAAGCTGCCAAGGTTGAGAATCACTGATGTAAACAATACAAGATATTATTGTAAGATATCACAAAATCTCTGCCCCAGCATTCCTGTCCATGGTTGATTGCAGAGAATGAGAAAACAGGTCTCTGCCCCATTAGGCTTTCAATCTAAGAAAGACCGCAAAGGGACAGTTCATGAAAGTGCTCTGTTTTGGAAGCCAAGGATATAAAACATAAATAATAATTCTTCATAAGGTGCTTGATTTTGGTATTTAAATGTGTTTTGCTCTGTTTTCCTTCATCATTGCTAGCAATAAAAATCAGATTTTATCCTGATACCTTCCCTTAATTTTTTTGTTTTACAGCTATCTAGACAGCTTAGATCGAATTGGAGCTGCTGATTACCAGCCCACAGAGCAAGATATCCTTCGAACCAGGGTCAAAACAACCGGCATTGTAGAAACCCATTTCACATTCAAAAACCTCCATTTCAGGTGAGAAAGATGCAGGCAGGTTGAAAGAATCGCCCCGACTGGGCAGATAATAAGCTGGTGTGGCTCTCGTCCTTTTCATTTACCGGTGGGCAGGCTTGGGTTGTGGTGTTTTGTTTGAGGTCCCACAAAATGGCTGCCATGGTAAGTGGAGCTTGTCACAGGCTGGTTCATCTGCTTACCACCACCACTCATCTAAACCCAAAGGATGTCCTTCCCTTCCCTTCCCTTCCCTTCCCTTCCCTTCCCTTCCCTTCCCTTCCCTTCCCTTCCCTT